CAGAATCCAACCCCCCCCCCCCCCATGGTCATTGTGACAAGAGCAGGTCACCGGTGTATAAATACATATATATTTATCTTATCCGGTTTTTGAGTGGAGCGTGGTTATCGTTAGTAAGCAGTATAGTCTAGTTAATCAGTGACTAGAAGACTGCAGGAATATTCCCTAATGTCTTTGCACCTACCTCAGGTGCTTTTTCCTTTTATTAGATAGGACAGCTGAAGAAAGACCCGACAGGGGGTAGAGAGAGAAGGGTTGACACATAGCAAAGGGCCACAGGTCGGATCTGATCCAGGGTAGCTGCTCAGCCTTTGTACATGGGGTGCCAGCTCTACCAGGTGAGCTGTCCAACCGCCCCCAAAAGCAAAATATGTTCCATTTCTGGACTCATGTTTTTCATGTTGTTGAATTACATCATGGACTGCAGATGCATTCCACACTTCCCTCTGCGTGCAGTTCTTTCATGAGAGGCTGTACAATTTAGCAGCTGCCTGAGACTAATTGGTGAAATGTCCTTGAGATATTTTGTTTTTTTCTTGAGTTGGCAGGATTGTGTGGTGTTTCAACACACCAGCCCCCTTCCCTGCATGGTCACAGGTTAAGGGCCCGCGACAGCAGAAGTAATGCAAATTAATAAGTCTGTCAGGAGTACGTTTATTTGTCTTTGTCGCTTAGAACTTTTCCCAATTCCGTTTATTGAAAATATGAAATAAAAATGTGACAAGCTGGGATATCAGGGGAAATATAATAGACGGTGACATGTTAGTTGGTACAAATGTAACATTTTCTATCAAGTAACATTTAGAAAGTTAAGAAAAATCTGCGAATCTGCAGCAGCACTGAGAAGACAGAAAAAGTTAATCCCAGCTGATAGCAGAAAATCATGCAGCATGACTCAAATTTGACAGCTCTTCTTCCGCTTGTATTTTCCATTTTCTTTGCCTAATATATTTCAACCTGACGCACAAGTGCCATAAATGCCAAGAGGAATTGTTATGAGTGGTAAACATCACTCTGGTCTTGATGCTTCAGATAACAATAGTGGACCTAACTGCTTGACATTTAAGTGGATTTGGTCGAATCAGAGCATCCGTCAGTCAGATGTGCTGAGTAAAGAACAAGACAGGGGATCCTAGCCAGGATTGTTATTTGTTTGCACACAGATTCACTCTCACAGACACACAAACACAATCCAATCACTGAGATGGCATGGCCTCTGAGCATAGAGCAAATCTTATGTCCACATAATGCCTGAGTCACTCCTCTGATACAAAGCACGATCCCATCTTGGAGGAAAATCTAGAATAAATCATGGCATATGCTTTAGAGAGCATCTCCCCTTTCCTCCAAATCACTATGCTTAGCGAGTAGTACTTCCTCAGGCCCTCTAAGCCTGGATATCTCTCTTGGCCAGAGGGGGGTTTTAGATATTTGCTTTCCCATATGGCAGAGCTGGATACAGATCCAACGCGTTACCGTCAGGGATTGACTTATAGAAATATGGGAAGTATTGGAAATCAGGCTGAAATAGGGTATCAGCATCACAGAATTTCCCCTGTAATAAAATCCGATAGCAAAATCCTCAAGTAACGAAGGTAAACAAAGCTACACCACTTTGTGCATCAGGCGCTCACAGAACTACAGCAAGTCTCTAAGGTTTTTAGAAAAAGAAGACTACTGCCATGCTAGCAGCTCTGTGAGACCGAGCTTTCAGCTGAATTCTGAGCATCAGTGAGTTTAGCCTGTTAGCATGCTAACATTTGCTATTTAGCACTAAGCACAAAGTACAGACAAGGCTGTTTGGAATGTCATTAGCTTTGCAGCCACATAGTCTTAAACCAAAGTATAGGCACATTTTAAGTTTGACCTGATGATTTATACAATTCATCCTGGGAGGAACACGAGTATTTGTTTAAAGGTGCCTTAAGCGAACTGGGATTCATTGTCTGGGGACCATGAATATCTGGAGAAATTGTTGTGCCTATCCATCCTGTAGCTATAGAGATATTTCACAGAATAAGTTAACATTTTGACCCTTTGGTAGCACTAGTTGAAAAATCAGGGGATCAACAAAGTCATTAGGCTTCATCCCCTGGGGACCATGAATATCTGTACCAAATTTCACGGCAATCCAGCAAATAGTTGTTGAGACATTTGACTAAAAAACAAAAACGTCAACCTCATGGTGGCACTGGGGGATAAGTCAGGGCATCACCAAAGTCATTGGGGCCATCCTCTAGTGACTATGAAAGTTTGTACCAAATGAAATTACAATTTATCTAACATTTGCTGAGATATTTTACTCAACCTGACATTGCCATGCTGTTAGAGTGGCTAGCAGCACATGAAAACCGAGATTCAGTGCATTTTGTGTTACAGGGTTACAAAAAAAGTGTGCAAGTGTGAAAATAATGACTGCTTTTGGCATTGGTAGTAAATTAGCAGTATCACTGTACCCCTAGTGACCGTTCTACTGTTATAGCTTTCACCTTTGCTGTCCTTACCTCTCCATCTGTTTGCCTAAGCATTGGCTTTACAAACCCATTGTGCCTGGGAGAAATCCACGTCTTGTTTGACAGCTCACTGCCATGTGTACCCAGGCAGATCTGCGCTTTGTAATCTAAAGCTGGTGCTCAATGCACAGTCCTGTCTGTACATTGAGAGACGGCTGCAGAGGGAGGGAGAGAGATACAGAGGAATAAACACTGCCAGAAAACGACAGCTGGAGATTGGGTAAACTGCGGTTTATACCGCATTACTGGCAGCAATACAGGGCCTTTCATTACATTGATTGTGTTTATTTACCTGCAGCTTGGGTCAATAGGAGCAAAGAGTAGGACCTCTAAAGCTAATTACACAATGAATCAGTGACCTGGATGGTGTGGTTGAGTGACAAAGAAGTGCACAACTATCCTCCCCGTAGGGCATCCACCTTGTTCGATAATAAAATATTGCAGCACAACACTTGCATACAACAAATATCCAACACGGGGCAAGATAGTTTAAGCTTAAGCATTAGGTTGCATCACCCCACGTGTTAAACAGTTTTATCAGTTTCACACTCTCAGTTAAATCTTATCCCCTCTCTTGCACCCGTGTTGCGTGTCACTTGGAATGCAATGTGTAAAAGCAAAACAGGAATGACAAAAAAAACAACATAAATAGTGTGGAAACGGCTAAGAACGCAAGCTTTTCTTTAAGCTTGTGCTGGCTGGTCCTCTAACACATTGTCAGTGCCAAACCACAGTAACAATAAAGGGATTACATACTGATCCACTGTGTAAAGGGAGAGGTGCAGAGAACAACAGCAGAATATGAATATGATGACAGCTTGTTGTCACAGAACTAAAGGAAGGTGAGGCCGGGTGCTGTGCTGTCAGAGACATATACACAAACACAAAATCTCTTGTGCACACACACGAATATATAGGATATACTGAGTTAAAATCGAATACTGTAAGATCATCTCCCAATCTATCACACGCTTCCTCATTTTACATATGGGCCGAGAGATCGTCTGGGGTTTCTTCAACACCCATGTGCGAAACGTTGAGGGTGTGACGAGGAATGCAGAGATGTTATGAGGTACTGTGTAGCAAACCAATATTTTCAGTGGAATCCTGTCAGGTGTGATGCCACCCAGTTTTAGGAAAGCAGGATGGGCAGGAAGAAGAATCTAATCAACACATTCTTCC